TGAAATTGGCTATAATAAAAGAGAATGTCTCCTCAGGCTGGGTGTGAAGACAATGTATTAGACATCTAAAATTATAATGATGCTGGATTCTCTTATTTTGTTCTCAAGTTATTTCATTCTTTTCATATTTAAGATTATACAGGGGACATAATGTGTTTTGCTTGGGATGAACTTAGAAAGAGGCAGAGTAGTTACTATCTTCTTAATGGATTTTATTGACTTCTGGAAATATTTCTTATTCCTTAAGTTATTTCTTTCTTTTCCCCAAACTGGAAACTGATCATCATTCAATTGGATTGTAAGATTAACCATAGAAAAGGCAGTATTTTAAAGAATTATTGAATTTTATGCTGAGGTCCACTGTCTTAGGATGGGTTCCTAGGAATGTTTTTGAAATAGGAGACCCAGAGGTAACTCACTGGGGGAGAAGAGATGCCAGGAATCAGGAAAAGGGCACTAAAATGAGAAATGAAAAAATGTGTATGCCCAAGCACTGTGGAACACACACTGAGCCCCTGCTCTGTGGGAATGTGAGCAGAGCTTTGCAGAACTTACAGCAAGCCTAGACAACCAATAGATGTGTACTGAACATTGTGAAAATGAAGGAATGAAACAAAATCAGATCCTCAATGTTGATAAGAAAAGTTTCACTCCTAAAACAACAACAAGCCTTTCACTGCTGTTCATCTATACTTTTTAGCCAACAAATTTTGAGATGCTTACTATGCCATATGCATTTCAGAACACTGTGTAAAGTTAATAATTTAATCTCCTAACTGTAAAAGTTAGGAGCAGTTTTACTATTTTATACAGGAGCAATATATACAACTTGCCTTCAACCACAGGGCTGATAGCAAGTGGGTAATCCCTGATTAACACCTAGGGGTCTTGATGCAGATCTGGGCTCCTAAGCACTGACATAAATATTACTTAGAAGGTCAATAAGCATCAGGTGAATGATTGCACTTGGTAGTTAATTGTACTTAAATAAATAATATTTTAATTGATAAGTGTCCATTTAAATGAAGAACTTTCATAGTTACAAAGATGAAATATTCCTTTCCATTCTGTATGAATTATATTCTTACTTCTCTGTTTTATAGAATGGTTGTTGTATTTAAAAGATTTGTGTATACACCATTTTAAACCAACTGGAATTTAAAAAGGAGAGATATCAAATTTACATTCTGTCCCTTACTTTTCTATGAATAAGTCACTTGCTGTCTTATTAACCTATCCATAAAGGAGAGATACTTAGTGTGTACTTGGCCACAGAACATGCCCATTATTTAATTTGTTCTTATTTTTTTAATAAAATAATTTGTTTGACTTTAAATTGAGCATGGTACCCACATGTATTTACAATGCAAAGAAATAAAATAGAATTTAGCTTGATGATGGCCATTTACTAAACATTATCTAATAAACAGAATTATAAGCTTTTGAATGGAAAGTTAAAAAATATATGAAAGTCAGTTTTTTTATTTGAAGGTAAGGTACATAACTAGCAAATATATATATGACAATTTTAAAGTTTGTTCTCAATGATTATCAAATTTTAATAATGCATGCATAGACTCCAGAGTTAATCAGATAGTTTGTAGGGATATCACAGAGATTGACTATTGTGATCTTATTGTATAAATGAAGAAACTAAAGTTTTAAAATGACATGGTCAAAGTTATATGATTAGGGTCAAACTCAGCAAAGAGTATATAAGACTATAAAATTTATATAAGTGTAGAAAAGTATGGTGACTTGTTTTTTGAGCTTTCCAGGCTCTAGCCCCTTTTGATGTGGATCTTTTCTTTCTCTCAATTTTCCATAGTCTATTTGATTTGATTCTAGTCCCAGTAATATTTTTATTCATTTAGTTTCTTTGTTTTGCTGAATTTTGGAATGTGGACTTTGTCCTAAAAGGAAATTCTAGTGGATCAATTTTGAGAGTTAGCAGGGTCTGAATCCTTCCAGCAGTACAGACCTTACACAGATTCCTTGGATCCATTCATACTCAAAGTGAGCAACACACATCCAATTGTTAGTTGTGGATCTCATAAGAACCATCTGCTACATATTTCAGAAACTACCTGTTGCTCTTTCCTGATTTTATTGTCTTTTCCCTTATAGACATAAATAACCAACAGGTCTTGCTGCTTTTCATGCTTTGTCTCTACTGGTTTGTTTTGGAGGCTTTATGTGGACGTATTCTCTTAAGTTTGTTGTGTAGGTTTTCCAAGATGTCTTCACATCTTGGAATGATGTTTTGATGTTAGGACTTGGGAAAACCCTAAACCTATTCTCTGCCACTATCATTTCAGAATTCTTTCTCTTTACTTTTTGCTTTTTTTAGCTTTATTGATCTATAATTTATAATTGCATGCCACTAAGGTCAACCATTTGAAGTTTAGCATTGAAAGTTTTTAATATATTTGAGAAGTTATATAGCAGTCACCATAAATAATTGTAGAATATGTTCACTGCCCTCTAAAGAAAGCCCATGTCCATTATGATACTCCCCATACCCCATGCTCTCACCCTAGGTAACTACTGACCTTCTTTCTGTCTGTATTCAACTCCCTATGTGGTATTATATAATTTGTGGGGGATCTGTGTTTGGTGGAATGAAATAAATCAATAGACGTGATTGGTGACAGAAAGAAACATCAGGTAATTTTTAAGTTCTTCATCATAACTGGGGAATGACAGTAATCATATACTAAATTTTGTAACAACATGTTTACTTATGATTTCAAGTTTGTTTCCCAATACCAACTTGAAATACTAATATACCATATTCTCAGCCTTTGAGAATATGGTATATTAGTAATAATGATAATAGTTACAATAATAAAATTTGATACAGTAATTTTACTAGGCACCCATACCATTCCAAGACCTTCACATATATTAAGACATTTTATATCATAGAAACATATTATGGAAATGCCATCAAGTCAATTTTACTGATGTGGAAACTGAGGCAAAGTGAAATGAAACTTCCTCACATTAGTGACACAGCCAGAATCTACACCTAGGTAGTTTGACTCAAGACTCTTTGTTTTAATCATTGTACTAATGTCCTCTCAATTTGGAGCATTTTGTCAAATACCTTTCTCTTTTTTGGACTGGCAATGATAGAAAATAGCTTAAGATAACATACCATAAGATCTTTCTCAGTACCCATGTTATATAACACTAATGTTTTATTACACTATAACTTAATACAAAGGTGAGATACAAAATTATTGTTTGGTTCCATTACCAGTCTTCCAAACTTTTTCATAATGCTTTTATAATGCTTTCTGTAACTAAGAAATTATTTAAAAACTCATTATTCTTAGCAGGCAGAGCTCTTAAAAACCAAATGCTGCTTTTTTCTAAAATGTACTCCCTGTTCAGTTGACCATATTCACCACAATTGACAACAAAACAGTCTGTATTTGAAAATGTACAAAGAACTATGGACTTATTTTTTCTTTAAATATAAGATATTAAAATATCATCCAGCAGCTGAGTATTGGATTGAGTTGAACCAAATCAATTATAACTATGTAAGTTCTCAAAGGACTTTAAGACAAGGAGGCAAAGAAACAGTGTACATTTCTAGATGAAACTGAGTAAAGCTGGAGTAATAACACTCATTTCTTTTCTGTCCTGAATCAACCCATCTAGGAATTATTTTTCTTCCCTTGACAGGAAAAAATTTCTTATTTAATAAGTTTCTTTCCTTCTAACATCTTAGAAAAAAAGAGAAGACCTGTTCTCTTTTAGAAAAACTTTTGAAGGTGTTTTCCTTTTCAAGTAGCCAAGTTCATTTCTAGATTGAGTTAGGAACTACAATGGAAAATCAACACATTATAGGAAATTTACTAGGGAATAGTTTAAGAAGCACATTCTTAATCTAAGATCCATTTTTCTTGGTTACATGTGCAGAACTACATTTTCTTTTATTAAAGCACCATTCTCCAAATACCTCCAAACCCAAATCCTGACGGGGGCATGGGCACAGGTACCTGAGCCGGGTACTCCTAGATCATAAGCGACACATTAATTCTGAGTTTTTGTAACACATATAAGGTAACTGAGAGGATCCACCTTTTCTGAAAATGGGGAACATAAAACTTTAGGGGATTTATTTCTAACAAAGCAGAATACTTTAAAGCAGATCTACTCATAAAAACAACAGATGCTATAACATCACCAAAAACCAAAGTCACATTTTCAAACCGCCTCACTGAAATGATGCTTTAATACAAGAGCAACAATAAAGTTAAATAGCATTCAGTTTTAGCTCTTTAGCCCCAGAGGCTTGCTGCCAAGGGCATCAGTGTAGAAAAACCACAGAAGGCATATCCTTCATTGGCAGTATATATCATGCAGGTCTATTTTGAATATCAACTAGAATCATTCCTCTGAAAGAGTTTTGCAAACTGTGAAATTATACCAATGTATTTATAATTATTTTTGACATTTTCTGGATAGTTTTGCAAAGAAAAACTAAGTGTAGCTATACTTCACTTTTTGTCTGAATATTTATCCCCCCTCAAATTCAAATGTTGAAATTCTGACCTCTGGGGTGATGTCATTGGTAAGTGGAGGATTTCAGGAGGTGATTAGTCATGGGAGCAGAGTTGACATTAGTAGAATTATTGCCCTTATACAATAGGCCCAAGGAAGTTCATTACCCTTCTTCCATGTGAAGGCAGAGCCAGAAGTCACTATTAGCCAGAAAATAAGCCCTCACCAGACATTGAATCTACCAGTGCCTTGGTCTTGGATTTCACACCTTCAAAACCATGAGAAATAAATTTCTGTTGTTTCTAAGCCACTCTGTTTACTGTACATCACTACCACAGTCCAAATGTATTGTCTCTTAACATATAGTTGTATTTCAATATACAAAATACCTAACAGTAAAATATTTTATAAATGTGCAACAAAGATAAACATGGCCTCATGATAAAAGTGATTCCAAATGGAAATGCCTTCTGGAAGCTTACCAGTTGTGCAGTTGTGAAATTCAATGTCATCAATTGCAGCTCCTCCTCCCAAATCCCTGGTTCTGACACCTTGAAATATAACTTCAAAGTTCCTTAAATTTCCTAGCAGGATGACAGCTTTTTGCCAGTGATCATCAGGGGTCTGGTTACTTTCTTGCCATACTTCCGATAGTCCTTTTTCTGTCTGAAGTTTTAAAAGTTTACATTAGGTAAATAATTAAACAACTTAATAATAAGACAAAAAAACAGTCATTTATTTAGCATAGAAGTTTTTGATCAATGAACATTGCAAAAATGGAAAAGAAAGAAAAAGGAAACATCAAACTCTGGTAATATCTGTGTTAAACAGAGGCATATTTATCCACTAACAGGTTTCCCAAAAGCAATATTGGCAGAGTTAGAAGTGAACATGCTATGATATTTTCAAAGATACTATTATAGCATTCTATTCAGTTAAAACCATTTGTTCTTGCACACACAACAAATTCTTGATTTGAGGTAATACACGAACAATTTATAGAAGTTCTGGGGTTCTTATTCTGGATGTCTCTCTGCAACAATCCAATCATATTGCTTATGAGGTTGTACTTTCCTTCCAAAATTAAATCTCTCACATAAGAGAAAAGAGAGATAGAAAGGAGAAACATATGGAAAATCACTTATCCCCTCATGTGTATGATAAATAATTTGTAGTAGATATTAAGCATAGAGGAAAAGTGATAATTTCTGAGATCAGATTTAAAAATTTCTATTACATGATTACATTATTTTGATCTCCAGATATTATGATTACTAACTGAGCACGAGTTATAACTGTTTCTATATAAAATTATTCAATTGGAAAGGAAAATTTTCTTAATATTTATGTAAATATCTCTTCTGAATAGCTAATGATGTGTTATGACTTATACTGTAACCCTAATGACCAAATAAAAAATAACAGTTACATTAAACTAAAAGATAAGCCTTTTGAGCACAAAATAAGGCTTGGGTTATATATATTGTTCCTTGATCTTCTAGATTTAGCACTTTCTAAGAATTAGAAGATTTAACAAATCATGATGATGAATAAGTAACAAAAATTAGAGTTTTAGGGTTTTGAGTTTAGGGTTAGCTCTCAAATAATCTTTGTGGCTGGGTCATTGTGTTTTTAGGATGAATTTGCATTAAGAACATTGCCATTGAAGCATGCAATCAAAAAAGTGGAACAGAGCAGAGCATTTAGTAGATTGGCATGCAAAAAAAAAAATCAAGCAAGATGTTCCAACAACTACAAAATACATAATTTATATGAATTTCAAAGAATACAGGGTGAAAAGAAATGTCTGAAGAGGGGACCCAAAGGAATTGCACATTCATAGTTTCACACATTGGGAATTAATGTTAGTAAATGCCTTAATCTACTGAGGGAGAAATACATACCTGGCTCCTTGTGTGGCTCCAAATGGAAAGTAGAACTATGTACAGTTAATCTAAAACTCACTTGCAAAACCATGAGCAGTTTATAGATAGATTTATCAACATCCTTTTCAAAACAACAACAAATCTTTACTCTCAGAGACTGTGCATTGACTCTTCACACTCTGCAACTTCTGCTTTGGAAAGGATGAGAAATTCACACCTAATTAGTGGAATTTCATATCCTTCTGATGACTAAAGAGAAGTCTTTTTCAAAGATAGTATTTGACTTTCCGTGATGTTTTAGTGATTTGGAATCAAAGGGATAATTAAAGATTAAAGTAGAGGGGGTCTGTCTGGCACTAAGCAATAATAGAGGCATATATATTGATGAAAGCCTGTCTAAATTTATTACCTTTACTACTTTTCCTATGCATCAATCTCCAGCACTCAAAGGATTTTCAACAAATAACCAATAACATCAGAGAAGATCATTTAACAAATGAACTATGAATCACTTCTTAAATCTTACAACTGGGTTTCTACTTTTTTTAAAAAAAGAGACCTGTATAAAATATTTATACCACTGTATGTGGTAAGATAAGGAAATGAGAGTGAATTATTTTGAAAAGCTTCCATGATAGGGTATTGTAAAATGCTATTCTAATACATTTGTTATTGTTCCACTTTGGATGGAATGCCCATTCTTATCCCTAAAATGTCCAAAGATTTTGTTCTAATGTGAAATGGAGGTCACTTATTTCTCTTCTTGTCTATCCACACATTCATTTACTTAACACACATTCACTGATTATATATTGGCAGTTGTAATTTTATATACTAGGGATAGAAAGATGAAAAGGCATAGAAATAATAACCTAATAGAGAATTCATGAAATAAAGTACTATAAAGGGCACTCTCTCTCTCTCTCTCTCTGTTTCTCTTGCTCGCTCTCTCTCACACAGACACATACACGTACACATTTTTAAGAGAATTTTTAAAACAGTAGTTATCTAATCAATTCCCAAAATTTTTGTTGCACTGCATTGTTGATTTACTGCTTTGCTTTATATCCTGATTTTAATTCTTTCCAAATTGGGAAAGATAAAAAAATCATTAATTTCTAAGCTATGAATGTACTATTGAGAAAGAACATATCTCTTGTATTCATGTGAATTTTAAATTCAAGACCATAAAACAATAACCATATGTAAACATTTGAAAAGTGATTAGCCCAGATGTATCCTGAGGCAATGTGATAATAATTACACTTCTGTGGTCTTCCTCACCCAAAATTATTGTCCCAATCTAGAGAAAAAAGCATCAAATTAAATATCAGTGAATGGACATTCTAAAAAATACCTGACTGTACTTCTCAAAACTGTCAAGATCACCAAAAATAAGGAAATTCTAAGAAACTATCCCAAACAAGAGACGACTAGGAAAGCATGAGAACTATAATATAGAAATGACACTGGGAGAAAACTGAAGATATATGGATAAAGTTTAGACTTCAGTTACAACAATGTACATTAACTGGTTCATTAATTATGACAAATGTACCATTCTAGCTTAAGATGTTAATTATAGGAGAAAATGAGTCTGTAGTGCACAGGAACTCCCAATATTATTTTTATAGTAGTGACATAAATATAAAAGTCTCTTAAAATAAATTGTTAAACAAATTTTTAAAGTTTCTTTTCCTATACAATATCAATATTATATTGACACATACTTTGTTGATTCCCATGAGTAGCTAGAATTTATCAAACCAAATCTGAGTAGGTCAGAAAAAGTAATGGCTATAAGAAATATTTGACCTTCATTCATTTTAATATAATAGAGAGAGCATAGCTTCTAAATATTCCAATTAAACTAGAGAAAAGGTTAGTTTGAGAAGAATCAATTTAGAAAGTAACACATATGTACGTGGAACCAAAACTAGGACTCTCCCTATATAGCTATCCTTACCTCAACTAGCAAAAACCCCTGGTTCTCCTTATTACTGTTTATACTCTCTCTTCAACAAAATTAGAGATAAGGACAAAACAGTTCCTGCTTGGAAGAGAGGGGGTGGGGGCGTGAGGAGGGAGGGGGAAAGGAAGAGGGCGGGGTGGCGGGGAAGGGGGGAGTAATGACCCAATCGTATGCACATAGGAATAAAGGAAATAAAAAATAAATAAATATTCCAATTGAATAAAATTTCTTTTTATATGGCATATCCATGAATTCCTATTGCTTTAACATTTTTAATTAATTGAAAAAAACGTTAAAAATGCTTAAAGAAGGATAATGCTCACAAAGATGAAGCCTATGAATGATCCCTAAAACCACTCAATGCCAAATTGGAATCATTTCCAACCTAAACAATAATAAAAAAATCATTTCATTATATGTGTGTAAAGAAAGATCACAGTGTAACACCTCACTTTGACACAACTGATATACGTTAATAAAATAATTTTTAGAGAAGAAAAGTCATTTCATGCACACAGGGGCCTAATCCCTATCATAGCAACCTTGTCTTATTTCTATCTCAGGACAGGACAAGGCTACAACATAGAATATTTCAAGCTACAAAGTGGTTTTCCTGGAATTAAAATTCTCCACAATTATCGTAAAAGAGGTTTTCAGAAACAGAAAAGAATAACTAGAATTAGATTACTATTTAATAGATAAAACTCTATGTAATTCTTTAAATCATTTAAAATAGCAGCTACCTAAAAATTGAGAACCTATAGTATAACTATAAACATACTGAAATGTTTAAAGATTATGTGAATGTTCATAAGTTAATGTATTTTGAATTTTCAAAAGTAAATGGAAACAACTGTAGTCTATTTTAAATTTTTCCACAGAAATATCTTACAAATAACTCTTATACTTGAAGAAAAAACTGTGGTATGTGACTCTGGACATTTTCTGCCATGAAAAAAGTAATTATGATGGTAAATGAATATATTCATTGAATAGATAAGTATTGCTGTAGGACATTTTGTGAAATATTTAACAATTATGTAATCATTTTAAACAGAGAGAAAATCCTCACATTCTCCTAGAATGGTGTTCCTTTAAATCCAGAACATTTATTACTTGACAATTTTCTTTAAAGATTCAGGCAACCAAAATGGGACTCTTAAGTGAAGCAGGAAGTTTAATGCAAAGTATAAAAATCAATGAAGCTAAAGTTATACAACTCATTTCTTATAATCACTTTCATTTTTATCACACTAATCTTTGTTTTCAAAGATTTCCAAATACAGAATCACAAAATCATTTATATTGTGTCAGATAGAAAGTTTAGCTTCTCTTTCATTTACACAAATATAATGTGATATAAATATCCTGATATATATCCTGAGTGTGTGTGTGTTGATCATATTACAGCTGGGAAAAACCCTTAAAAGGTTTTCCTTTGGGATTAAGAGCTGCTTTCTTAACATGGTATAGAAATTAGGTCTATCTACAAAACAGTCACAAAATTCTCATTCATGATTTCATTTGAGCAGTCCCATTCTCCACTTACATGTTATTTTTTTCTTTAAGTTCCTATGATGATATTCTTTCATGTTCATGATTGGATGTCAATAATACAAAATCTGATTTCTGTCTTTATGTCTTCAAATATATTAATGGAGTTAAAGAAGTCCTCTTCCACCATGGAGTAATGTGAATTGTGACATAACAGAGTTTGAACATATGGGGTCTCTGATCCATACCTATCCTACCACCCACACAATGTGTCATTGAGAGATTCTTAAACTAGAAACACAAATGTGTTGGTT